CGGTATAGGCGGTAATTATTAAATGCAACATATTTTTTTTAATTATTAATTACATTTGTCAGTGGATTAAATTTTCTTTAATAAAGTTGGTGATGATTTTAAATAAAAATAAAATTCTGCTCAAGTTTTTTTATTGTTATCTTTGTTAACAACATCGCCTTTAGAACTCTGGAACCGTAAGTGTTTCTTTCAGACGTCCAAAATTTATTCAAAATTAAAAAAAAATACTCTTTCTACCGGAGCATTCGTACCAGGTAGACATAAAATATATTCGATTAAAAAAAATTATGTTGAAGATTGTTGACTTTGAATACTTCCATCCAACGAGTTACGGGACAATTTTGTGTCTCGGAGCTTTGTTTGGGGACAATGGGACAGGTTACCGAGAAAAGGGACAGTCCCGTTCAAAACGGGACGTATGGTCACTTTAGCTATAACCCGGCGACGGCTCCGTGGCGTAGTGGCTTAGCAATCAATTGTTGCGCTGGGGGCCGCGGGTTCGAATCCCGCACGGAACAAGTATTTGTATGGCCTACAAATAATTGTTCCGGGTCTGGATGTTTGTCCTTGTGCAATTTATGTTTGTAAACTGCCTCCACGACACAGGAGAAAATCCTAGTGTGGGGGTAACGTTTTTTTACAATTGAAATTGAAAGATTGAACCCTTATACTTCTTGTTGATTTTTGTATTACCTTTATTAAAGTTACCCTTATGTATAAATATATATAATTACGTATGTAGAAATAAAAATGATTTTCATCCTCATCAATCATTGAGGTGAGGATAATGTCTGCCAGCATAAATAATAAGCAGGCTAAGTTACAAGGTGCTCAGTTAAAAAATTAGTAGGTAGGTATATTACTTTTCAATACGTGACACGTAAAAATTAATAATAATCAAAAACACATCTGCGAAACATCCTATTTATTTATTTATTTTTTATTGCACCAAATATTTGTACAAAAGCCGAGCTATCTATTTATTTACCTATAGTGAAGAGGTATCTTTTAAACTCACAATTTTCAATGCTTCATTTTTAATATATAATAAAAAAAAACTAAAACTAGAAAGTTAATTATCATATAGTCCTACTCCCCGCGGTATCGTGCCAAGAACGCTGGCTGCGTTTCCCCGCTGAATGGCTATACTTAGTCTTTGAGCGAGGAAAGAACCAGCCCTCTTATCACCAGCAGCAACGATCAGCCGCGGATGGAGTTCCTTTAAGAACTTCACCGCACGTGGACCCCACGGACCGATAGTCTCTACAGCAAATGGCACAAATATGTAGTCATCTCTCAGAGACTCATATTTGCGCCACTTACTCAGTTCAGCTGCCTCTGATGCCGCCCCGGCTTTAAACGAGGTACCCCTGAGATGAGACGCCGCCAGAGTGTCTACGCAAGTAGCATCCCACACTAGGGCTTTACCTCTCTCCCAAGGGACCAATGTCATACCGTCGGGTCTCCTGCCATCGTCTCTAAATATTCCACAAGGCTCTAAAACCGAGGGAACATTTATAGAGGCAAGAGCCCTTCGGATGACATCGTTCAAAGAACTGTGAAGTGAAAACCTACCAGCGCTTTTCTTACATGAAAGTCCGTGGAGCCCAAACTTGTCGACGCTGCTACCACAGGGGCACTGATGGGGTTGACAAATCGCCGCTCCTAGTCGGATTCCTACGGCAATGCGCAAGCTTTCCCTAGTAATGTGCCGAGATTACTTGATGGTAAAGCGTGTAACCAGTGACTAGATTCCTTAGTCGAAACAGCTAGAAGGCGTGCCTTATCTTGGTCACTATGGAAGTTATGAAACAAATCCTACTGCACGCCCTGTACCAACGGAACATCCCACTGTTTTTGTTGGTTAACTTCCAGTGGAACATTTTTACCAGGACAGAGCGTTTGACATGTCTGCCCTGCCTCCGTAGCAAAGCATAGGTCTACTTTATTATTAAAAATTATGTTACATAAGTCACTGACACTATGCACGGAAGCAAGGAAAGCAGGCAATGCAACGCTAGAAAGACTTCTTACACCAATGCCACCAAATTTTATAGGTAAAGTAGCTTGAGTCCAGGCTGTTGTATTTAAAGTTAAATTTAGAATTTTTTCTACAGCTATTTTAAGATTATTATCAATATCTTGTAAAATATCCGAACATTTCCAGACTGGACTCGAGCGGAGTAAGTATGTAAATCTAGGTACAAGAACACAATATTTTAAAATAGTAAGAGCTATGTGGGGGTTTAATTTATACAATTTATCAACGTGGTTTAAAAACTGATAAAATTTTGTTTTTAAAACAGGTTTAATACTATCGAAAAACAACGGGGCACCTAGCAGGTATTCCGTATTGACAGTTTTTATTCCTGGACAAATATGATTAAAATTTTGAATTAAAGTATCTCTATGAGAAGTAGATAAATTATTGGAAAAAAATATTTCACATTTATTGCTATTTGGTTCAAGGCCAATATTTTTAAAATTTCGAAAAATATGAGTAAGAATGCTGAGGACGTCATCTGCTCTACCTCCCAGTGTACCGTCGTCTAGGTACCAGACATTCAGCTTGGATTTCAAATTTGTAATAATGGGTTGAATTCCCATACTGAAAAGTGCTGGAACCAGTGGGTCACCCTGCTGAACACCAACAGCAGAATCGATAACATGGTTTTCGTAAAACAAATACTTTTACTATGGCATCGTTTAATATGTATCTTTAATCCCCTTTTACCTTTAAACAGCCTATCGTCAGCATAATTTTGACACTGTAGGAAATCCGGCTGTGAATGTAGAGGAGCAGAGATATTCATTAAAAAATCTAAACAGATCTCTACAACACTCAAAAGTCTTTATATTACATACTCATATTAACTTGAAATGTGCTGTACCCCGCATCTTTCCCTGAAACAATCATTTACGGCCTAAATAAAAGCACTTTACTCTATAAATGAAATATTATTACATTACTTCCCTAGATTTATTCCATATTGATAAACATTGTATGTATATAAAAGCTTTTACAAAAATTTACTTCCCAAATATCCGCGTTATAAAATAAAATGATGTGTCTTACCTAGTATGAAGAAGCACCTCCCGAACTCCCTCAATTGCGTGAACTATCCCCGTCACCACTAATCCCAGTACCGCTACTCCCAACACCACTACACTAGGCAAGACACACCACTGACGATAATACGACACGTGTTTCGCCTCTACACGAGGCATCCTCAGGTGATATAGACTCTACGGTCTCTAACCGCTAAGTGAGAAACCGATGACGCAGTCGCTCGCCCCTTAAGGTGAAATCGCTAAGTTTTACATGTATCCCGTTGAGTAGCTCGTTGACTACGCCACCTGGCATACGGTAGTGATACACCTCTAGGTCCTTGAAATTATTCCTAACCATTTTTGAGGTACTTTCGCGTTCTATACTGCTAATAAGACAAGTTTTCGACAGTGGCTTGACTAGTCGTTAACTCCCACTTGTCATTCAATTTGGTTTCATTTTCGTTTTATAAACTGCTGGTTACTTTTTTAGGTGATATTTGGTTGTTGTTTTGAACTGATTTCAGCAGTGTAGACATATGTAGTTTGGATTTATCCTCAGGTCTGTAGGGTTTCTCCGATATTTGTTTGCATATTTTGCATGTTTTTTTCTTGATCTTGTATTTTTTTATCAGTTTTTGATTGGTGGCATGTAACTTTTGAATTTCTTTATTAACAACATTCAGCTCCATTCGTAATTTTATAATTTCTTCGTTTAAATAATTGCTCGTATTAGTAGCAAATCCTAGTGTGTAATTATTTTCATTTGCGGATGTGAATGAAGCTGTCAAGTTTGGTAATGAGGATGTTTTTTTTTTCTTTCACAGCGTAATAAACTCTTCATTCTGCATGGCATTATTTTCTTCGTCGCATAGCAGCTCATATGAGTTCTTAGTAGGAACATTTATTTGTTTAGTAGTATTTTTTGTGGCTCATTATAACTGTACTGGTTGCAAAGGGCTCTTTGTCTCCTTTCAGTTTTTTACTTATATGCAATCAAAATGACAGTAGTATGACCACTTTCTACATTTAATATCGTTTCTACTCTGTGCTATATTTTGAGTAGTTATGGAACTTGGCACTAATATTTTGCCGCAGTAAATTACACCAAATCTTTTTAATCAACACATAATCAATCTTTTGTTTGTTATCAACATACACAACGTTTTCGGCACTTAAACGGTTACTGTTTTTATGAACTAGTAATTGGAATAATACTTATGTATATATTTAAGGTAATATAAGATAATGATAACAGGAAATACTGTATTTGAAAAGAAATTCTAGCATTGATATTAACTAGACCTTTAACCATTACCGGATAGCTGGAAATGCTTAAACCCACAACCTTTTGAGTCGTAGTGCGCACCCTTTTTTTTTTTTTTTGCGGATGGAAAATCATCAAATGACGCCTTTCGCTCTGGGTGGAGCGGAAGGGAGTGTCAGACTTTTACTGACTAAAAACCATCCGTGTTCCTTCAGTGCCCTTACGTTCCGGAGCCGCGGTATCTCTTTCGAACAGCCCGCAACCCCGGCAGGCGTCAGCCCTTGCGGGCCCCTTCACGCTGCTGACAGCTCTTTGAGGCGCGCGTGGAACAAAACGCGCCGTCGACACGGCCTGTCGTCGTTAGACGGACGGATGGCGAGCTAGTAGTGCGCACCCTGCCATTTACTATCGCATACTATACTGTATTCTATATTACTCACTCGCATGCTAAGTCCTATATATCTATATGTTTGTCTCTTTTTCGTTTTAGTGTCACTTTTCGGTTAGAGTTTCAAATCACAATGATTCTAAAGAAGTGTTCATACAAATAAAAAAAATTTTAAAAAAATTTACCGATTTCAGAAGCTATTATGTGGAAATATACATTTGTTGTTACTTATTATGTAAAGTTTAATTTATATATTATAAATACATTAATTTAACCATATGTACATTTGCTTTTCAGTATGCCGTTTACAGAGGCCTGCATCAGAGAACAAATGAGATATGACACTCTAGTACCACTGGGAGTAGCGCATCGCGCTTTGCACGATACCAAGATCAGTAGCTATGATGTGCCCGAGGTAAATTTAATGCAAATTTCCTTGTCAATGTTTACTATATTTTTTTAAGAGTTAGCCTCGATTGATATAGCATCTTTCTGATAACAACAGAAAATAAAATTAACTGAAAATAAACTGTGGTTGCCAACTCGACTGCCTGCGCGGCCACTATGGCAGAATTCCCTATAAGATAAATAATGGTAACAACATAGGCCATAATTAATAGAATCAGGCGTTACTTTGCGGAAGTCCATTATATTAAATTTGACAAAAAATTACTTTGCGTACATCCGCTAGATAAAATAAAATGATGTGTTACCTAGTTTGAACAGCACCTCCCTTCTCCCTCAATTGCGTGCACTATTCCCGTCACCACTAATCCCAGCACCACTACTCCCAACACCACTACACTAGGAAAGACACACCACTGATGACAATACGACACGTGTTTCGCCTCTACACGAGGCATCCTCAGGTGATATAGACTCTACGGTGGCTAACCGCTAAGTGAACGGCGAGCCAAAACAACTGCTATTTATACAGACCGCTGACGCAACCACTCTATACTTAAGGAGCGAGCGAAATCCCATTTTGCCAAACATCTTTTGGACACTGGACACAACCTAGCCAACGACCACTCCTTTAAAGTCTTACATACGTGTAATAAAGTGCTGCGGCTGTGTGTGCTGGAACAGTTAGAGATATTAAAAAGTATTAATAGTAACGTTGCACTGCTGAATGAACAAACAAATGTTACTAACTCACCTCTCTTAAATATCTTTAAGTCTGCTCTCTAATAATAGAGAGCCTCGCAATATGGTCGTTTGTCACCCTCACGGTGATCAGAGATTGGTTGCGTGGTTGGAGGGTAGGCGGGCGTTGCGCGGCGGTTTGTTTTTAATTTTACAAACGGCTGCGTAAGTCCGGCTGTGATTGGTCGCATGTTTTATCGCATGACGCAGTCGTTCGCTCCTACCATACATATTAACTGGAATTTTAGGTAGCAGGGCTACCAAACTGTACTATATATAACTAATACCAACCACTTTCACACAGAATACCAACTGATAAGCCTGTTTAGCCAGGCTTTGAAATCCCATTTCCCATCGTATGGACTGTGGGTTCGTTCTTTTCCCTTATTTTTTTTATAGAAATAAAGGTGGCAGACGGAATGAGAGGACTATAATATTATCCCTCTCTACCCATATAAAGGATTTAACTATGTTCTTCATCATCACAATCATCATTACAGCCCATTACAAGTTCACTGCTGAATATAGACCTCCCCCAAGGAACGCCACAAAGCACGGTCCCGAGCCACCTGCATCCATTGACTTCCTGCATGTCTTACCAGGTCTTCACTCCATCTAGTGGGTGGACGCCCTACACTTCGCCTGCCGGTATGAGGCTGCTACTCGAGAACCTTTCTTCCTCATCGGTTGTCGGTTCGTCGACCTACATGGCCGACGCATTGCCACTTCAGCTTACTAATCCGTTGTACTATGTCAGTTACTCCGATTCTACTTCGGATATCATTGTTTGTAAATCTATCACGCAAAAAATCCCGAGCATAGCCCTCTCCATAGCTCGCTGAGCAACTTTGAGCTTCCTCATAGGGCCAGCATTGAAAGACCACGTCTCATAGGTCATCACTGGCATTACGCACTCTTTGAACAATCTTGTTTTGAAGTTTTGAGGTATGCCTAACGAGAAGATGTGCCGTAATTTCCCGAACGCTGCACAACCGATTTGAATCCGTCGATTGACCTCTCGGTTGATGTTGGACTTACCTAGTTGGACTATTTGTCCCAGGTAAACATATTCGTCAACAACTTTGAGCTTAGTGCTCCCAATAACTACCGGCATAGGTGTGGTTAAAAAGATTAGATAGATAAGGTGCTATTACATCTATTATGTACGCAACAACGTTAACGGAAATTTCTTATAGGCCCACGGTTTTCTTAACATCATTAGTTTTAAATAAAAACCAAAAATAATTTTGTTTTAATATTAAATTCATCCACAGGTGTTTCTATCAATTTCACATATTAAAATTTTTTCTTTTTTTATAGGATAGGGTGACAAACGAGCACACAGCCCACCTGATGGTAAGTGGTTGCTGTGACCAATCGACATCTACATCTATCCTCAATAAAGAATCAAACTGCAGATGCGTGGTAACTCGTGAGTACTAAGATGGAATGCCTCTTTTCCAGTAAAAGGGTTTCTGGTTCTCTACATTCACCATACAAAACACAGCAGTTTAAGCTGTTATTTTACGCTAGTATTCTGTGAGAGCGTGGTCCTTCCCCGGTCGAGCCGTCCCATTCGTGCTACAACTATACTTCTAATATAGCTGCAGCATGGCTGTACCACGTTAAAAAGTTCTTTCCCAAAAGCCGTTTAAACAATTTGTATATGATATAATAAATATATCTATTTTGTTTTAGGACACGATGGTCAGCGTGAATTACGTAGCCCTACACATGGATAAGGAGATATGGGGTGACCCCGAAAATTTCCGGCCCGAGCGATTTATTGAAAACGGCCAGTTAAAAATCAGCAAAGACAAAAGTCTACCATTCGGAGCAGGTAATAACACCGGCGTGCGGTGACGACTTAAAAGAATCTGTCACTCCATTTCGTCCAGTAGGTGTCGTAAGAGGTGACTATGGGAAATGTCACAAAAATCTAATGGCTTCCGACAGATGATATAATCATCTCGTTTACCTCAGACGTTAATGCCCAGACTGCCGGTCTGGGATACAGCGTCGAAGCTGCGAGACGTTTGGTGAGATCGTCGAATGCCTAGCATGACAATTAAGGCAAAAACTCCCTCCCTAAATAACGTAAACACGTTGTCAGCCGTGAGGACTAAGATAGAATGCCTCTGTTCCACTAAAGAGGGTCTCCGGTTCTCTACACTCACCATACGAAACACAGCAGCATTAAGCTTCTATTATACACTGCTATTCTGTGAGAGCGTGGTCCTTCCCCGGTCGACCCGACCCATTCGTGCTACAACTATACCATTAATATAACTGCAGCATGGCTCTACCACGTTAAAAATGTTTGAATATCCCACAAAGCAGGAATCTTATAGTTCTTAGCACTATTTTATCAATCCGTAACAGTCCACCTCAGAGTATTTGAAACGCACGAGTAAGTTTCAATACCAGGGTTCCTCCCATGATTACAATCCTCGGTCTCATGACAATCTCGTACTGCGAATTCTCTCTCAGCGTACTGGTTTTCTCACAAGCTCCCTGTACCAAAGTGGTACAGTTGTAACAGCAAAAGTGTGCGTGCGTGCGTGTATGAGTGCGTGCGTTCGTGCGTGCGTGCGTCCGTGAATTGTGAGGTCTTGAGGTCAAATCCAGGTTTGGGCCAGAATCAGTTTAGTGTTATTCTGTCCAGTAATTTCCAGTAGCAGACTGGAGTCAAAAAGTTGACGGTGTTTCTCACCCGTGGTGCTAAAAGCACGTAAAGCCGTTGGTCCCAGCTTGCTCTCTTTCCGGTCGTGTCAAAGTGCCGTCCTATACTCCTGTACTGATTTCGGGGTCTGAACGACATTATTATTACGTATATAAAAATATCTTTTTTACTAGGGCCGAGTAGGTTCGTGATCCTATAGGTATCCATTTATATTATGATTTAATATCACGATGTATCGTGATATTAAATCATAATATAAATGGATAATGTCTTGATAGACATTATCCATTTATATCAATATATGGATGTCTTGACAGTTACTATATAGTTGATTAGATAGTTACTATATTGTTGTTACAATTTTTAATAACTGAATGATTACTTTTGTGTGTGGCTTAATAAATACTTAGGATGTACGTGTAAGGCTATAATTGTATAATTGTAGCACGAATGGGTCCACTCGACCGGAGAAGGACCACCCTCTTACAGAATACTAGCGTAAAATAGAAGACTAATGCTGATGTGTTTCGTATGGTGAGTGTAGCAAAACCGGAGACCCCCTTTACAGGAATGCCTCGTTCATTCCATCTTAGTTCTCTCGGCTGACAACGCATCTGCATTTTTATTTGCAAACGATTATAGACGACGATGTATATGGGCCACAGTAAGCACTTACCATCAGGTGGCCTTAACCCATAAATAATTGAGTCAAATCAAAACACAACATGATTATTTGTTATAGTATTGCTATATGTAAATTACGAATAAGTTATTTTATCGCATGGTCTTGCACGCAGACTTGGCAGCTTCCAGCCTCCTATTATTACCATCAAAGAATATATTATTACCATAAAACACACAGTTATATACCTTTGGCAACTTATTGACTGAACCTTTTAATGTTGCTGAACCCTTGATTTGCTGACCCGTTATTTTTATATAATAATATTAAACAAAATTATCCTTCACATTATTATTTTAAATTATTATTAATATATCCTACAGGTAGAAGACTGTGCGCTGGTGAAACATATGCGCGGCAGAGCATGTTCCAAGTGTTCTCAGCATTTATGCAAGCGTTTAGAGTATCGACCGCTGACGGCAAGCCTCTTAAAAAGCCAGCTGAAAGATTACAGGGAATTATAACGACCCTACCCAACTATTGGGTACGCGTGACTCCCAGACTAAAAATATAATAATATTAATAATAAGGATTAAAAAATTATTTACAAAGACAACAGAAATAAAGTTTGGAGACTTAGACGCAGAAGTTATTGACACTAACATTTACGTGTCGACATCAACTAAATATTGTAGTGAAATATCAACTGTATTAGTGTACCTGGCCCAAATAAAACTATGTTTGGAATACAAACTCTTTTGATTGCGATACGAAGTCGATTCAAAAATTCATAGTCAGGAGTTGTATTATGTTTTTCTTACTATAAACGAGAATTAAATATATTTTTAACATCAGGTTTACTTCATTTTTTAATTCCTTGTGGTTTTTTAATAATATTAGAGATCGAAATACCCCAAAGCGTCAACTTCTGCTAGAACTCTTAACTGAAACTGAAAAAAAAAACTAAACAAAAAAAACTTTTTCCCACATTAATCAACAATAAGCTACTACATCTTTATTTTCTTTGTCATAAAACAAGAAATTGGATGATCTTTTAGGCCACTGTTTCATAATTTCCTTTTTTCATCATACTTATTATTTTAATGCTAGACTCTGAACGTTCGTGGTAGTTACGTTGTAGAGCCATGCTGTAGCTATATTAGTAGTATAGTTATAGCACGAATGGGTCGGCTCGACAGGGGAAGGACCACGCTCTCACAGAATACCAGCGTAAAATAGCAGCTTAACGCTGCTATGTTTCGTATGATGACTGTAGAGAACCGAAGAACCTTTTTACTGGAAACGAGGCATTCCATCTTAGTCCTCACGGGTGATGACGCATCTTGCAGCATTTTGATTTGTAATCGAGGATAAATGCAGATGTCTATGGGCCACAGCAACCACTTACCATCAGGTGGACGGTGTATTCGTTTGTCACCCTTATCTTGTAAAAAAAAGAACACAGAATAACAAAAAATTCGATGAAATAAAGAAAAAGAGGACCATTATTAAATATTCTAATTCTTAATCTATATCTAAATCTATAAATAAATTCATAATTATATATACAGGGTATTTTTGGAACGCTCCCGAATACTAAGACAGACGACAGTACGAAGTACACCTTTGATGATGGGTGGAATATAAAATCGATCCTGATGAATGAAAAATCATTTTTTCACAACGTTTTATTAGCTTTATTCATTCTCTATCATGTTAGTATAGCTAAATGAAACGATAATTTCATAAAAAAAAATCATGAAAATACTGAAACATAAAACCAGGAGTGGAATTACTGAATTTATATCACCTGATTAAAGGTCAATGTACGCGCGAACGCTGAAAAAAGAACGCTGGCCTGGAACCTGGGCACTGAGAGAAAGCGATTTATGAGTGAGTGGTAAGAAGGGGGCGCGACTGGGGAAAAATCCGCCAGTATTACTGTGGCCGCACGCAATTGGTTCCCGCGCTTTGTTCGCTCCTAAAATACAGTCGCATACACAGCTTACTTTGCGACTGGCGACGATGGTTTTAAAAAGGAAGGAAAGAAAAATTATTTATATCTATTGTTTTATGACTGAACTAGTGAACGCTTTTCGTTCACTAATTCAGTCATAAAACAAATATGATAGGAGAAGGTGAATGGGGAAAATTATGCAGTAAAGTTATAAGTGTTGAGGAAGAATACCGAAAAAATTACCATGTGATCGACCTGATGACGGAAGCTCAAGCGAAGATGAAAGTGATGATGAAGTAGCATCCAGTAACACCAATACACCATCAACATCTGGCTTCCATGTGACCCAAGACGACATAATGGACGGCGTGTCACCCTTAGCTTAAGTTTTCTTGTTACAAACTACTTTATATTTTACGATAGAAATAACAAATAATGCTCAAGTAAACATTATCCATTTTTAATTCCAACTTCTTACAAAGTTCTTAGTAGCTAGTAAAACACCTATTATTATTCTACAATAAAATAATTAATTACTATAATATTATAAAAAAATAGCCCAATACCATGTAGTACTTTAGAACGCGACTGTACCCACACTCCCTCCACTGTCGACCTGTATCTAGCTCGGTGCGAAACAATGCTGCCGCTATAAGAAAAAAGGGCGCATCTAAAAATTTTTGAATAAATGAGTTAAATATACCATTCGACTCATGATAAGAAGGCGCATCTACTAAATTTTATTAATATTCAAAAATATCAATATTTTAAAAAATATCGTAAGAATTTCAGACGTAACTGTTGATCACAGATGACATTTTTTTAGTAGAAAAGACTTATACAAATTCAACATAAAAGAAAAGAGTTATTTAACCAGTTGCTACGTCATCTTTAACAATATTTGCATCGATTACTTAAATTTCGATTATTCTTGTCTTATTATTCTGTATCTTATTATTAAGGGCTTATATCTTATTATTAAGAGCTGGTGTTTCACATGTAGTCCCATATAAATTTCATCGAGGTCAGACCAATAGTTTTTGAGTTATCCTTAATTATTTATATTGAAGTCGGTTGTACAAAATTTTTAATTTTTAATTGTTATCGTAGTGATTCTTGTATGATATCCCCTTTAAAGTCATTACTCAAGAATTGCGGGTTGTTATTTTTTGTGTCTCACTACCAATGCTTTTCTAATATTTACTAATAAAAAAGTAGTAAATTACTATTAGCGTCCTTTCAACTTCAAATGACATTTCCAAAATATGAAAAAATGTTAAATGAATGGCAGTTTTTTTATTTATTAGGTTGGAAAGACGGTAATGGTTATATGCGTCTTTTATTCGATGTTTTTGTGTTGCCAGGTGTATTTTTTAAGCTAAGATGAAAAGGAAAATTCGTTTTATTTAAATAAATAAACAAATTATCAAAAAATAAGTTCGTCTTTAAAATTTATGTCTCTACGTATATTTCAATTTTCATATTGATACCTTTTAATATACTATAGATACAGCAGGGTCTCAAAGAAAAATTCATCTATTTATTTTTTATTTCCATATTACGTTTTTGTTAGTTGCGTCCTTCTTTATTATGACGGCAGAACACCTAACCCGGCCGGCTGGTATCGCCTCACGCTGTAACGCAGTAGGTTTCGTGTTGATTTTGTACACGCGTGCGCAGTTCAATCGTTTTGTTTATTAAATTGTTATTGTTATTACTTGTGATTACGTGTTGGTCTTGTTGTTACGTTTTTTGATTCTTTTTTTGTTTTAATAATTCCTAACGCGTACGTTTATAGTGCTCGTGAATACGGCAACATGTTAGGTATCCGAACCTAGGTACACGAAGTATCGCTAAATAAATTGTTAAGACGTCGGGATGGAACAAGTGTGTCATACTGTGCAATGCACAAAGTGTTGAAGCGTAACCGAATGCGCCCATACAAATTGCACAAAGTGCAAGCTTTAGTCCCGGTGATCACGACCGCCGACGAGTTTTCTGCCGTTGGTTATCATATCAGCAACAACGTGTGCCTGGTTCCATTGAGCACATTATCTGGACGGATGAGTCGGCATTTACCAGAAACGGCCTGTGGAGCCGAAGAAATACACACGTGTATTCAGAGGTTAACCCGCACGCTGTTCGACAAACCGGGCACCAAACCCGATGGTCGGTTAACGTATGGGCAGGTTTATTTAGGGATCGCATACTGGGACCAGTGTTTCCGTCACAGCAACTGAACGGACAGCGATACCTAAACTTTATAAATGAACAGTTTTTAGACGACCTATCGTTGGCTGAATATCGCATCGCACATGGTTCCAGCATGATGATGCACCTCCACATGTCGTGAGGTTCGTCTGTGAGCACCTCACCGAATTATTTGATGATCGCTGGATTTGGCGGACTAGGACCACACGTTTGGCCACCTCGCTCACCATATCTGACCCCGTTAGACTTCTTTCTGTGGGGTATGTGAAAGAAAGGGTTTTTAATCGTGAGTGTGATAGTGCTGACGAAACTACAAAAGGATCGTGGTTGTTTTCGACAAACTACGTACGGACTGTGTCGAAGACCACACGATGATGCCTCGCCTCCATAAGGAGACGCAACACCGAGCCCAAATCTGCTTTGAAATGAGTGGAGCACAATTTGAGCCGCATCTCATAAGACCACGGAGGATTTAGAGCGGTAAGCTGTTTCATAACTAATTTTTTTTAATTACTTAGTACTGAACTAATCTGAATAGGTACTTAACTGAATACATGAGAATAATAAACATACCTACACGATGAATAAAAACGCATGACTCTAACCTTGGTTACATTTCATTTAAGTATTTTTTCATTAGCGGGAAATCGAACCAGTTATTTGGGTTATTTAACCTGTAAATTCGGATCGGACAGCCCGACACAGCGAAAGGTGGAGGACAGAGTGCAGAGTTGGCACGTGGAATGTTAGAGGAGGCATGAGAGATAAGACGAATGAGCTGATCGAAATAATGAAAGAAAGAAAATTAGATGTCGTGTGTATGTCGGAGACCAAATGGAAGGGCAGTGGTACTGAAGAGCTCCCTGGCGGGACGTTAGCTCTATGGTCTGGAGTCCCGGAGAGCGAGAGAGCCTGCCAGGGAGTGGGGGTGCTGCTATCGTCTCGATTGGTCGATGTTATGACTGAATATAAGGTTGTGAACTCAAGACTTCTCTGGGTTCGCTTTAAATTGGGACTGACGAAGTTATTCCTTTTGCCTGTTTATGCGCCGGTAGCTTCGTCATCCAGGGCTGAGCTGGAGGAGTTTTGGGAGAATTTAAGAGAAGTTCTAGATTTTGTTAGGGGAAACGAAAGAATTGTTGTATGTGGTGATTTGAATGGATCGGTTGGTACCGCTCGACCAGGGTACGAGTCGGTGCTTGGAAAGTTTGGCGATAAAAGGGTTAATGATGCTGGCAAGCTCATATTGACTGTATGCAAGGAAAAGGGTTTTCTTGAGACAAACACATGTTTAATCATAAGAAAATCCATATGGATACTAGAGAAAGAAAGAATGAGAGAAGTATGATCGATTTGTTCCTGGTGGATGACCGACTGCGAAAACAGGTGATGGATACGCGAATTTT